ATAATTCATTTGTGGATCTTTTCCCCAATACAGGTTTGAGCTTGGTGCTGTCAAGACTAAGGCACTTTAGACTTGTCCAGAAGTAGCATTTTAAGCACCCATGGAAGACTTCTGGGACTGGGTCCCAGAAGTTCCGGGTGTCTCTAGCATCTGCCTCCAGATTAACAGGACTTCAAATACATATAGTCTCCGTGAATTCTACATAGTTTCCACTTTTGCTACATACAGAATTAGCTTCATAACCTCAGAAAGAAGGATAAAATGCAAACTCACCCAGCTTTTTTTTTTTTTTAAAACCCTGTTTTACAGACTGTCCAAACAGATGATTTCAACCCCTTGGCTTCAGGAGAGATTAAGGTTTTGAGAATCACTTCTCATGAGCAGGCTGAGAGATGTTATTATTCCGTCAGTATTGTAGGCTGAACCTGGGATGCTTTGACCAGCTTTGGGCTGCAGAGAAATAGGACAGGATCCAGCAAAAAGTAAGATGGTCAGAGGCACATGACTTGTGAGGAGAGGCTGAGGAAAATGTTTGGTTGGTGTTGTTTGGTCTGGTGAAGATGAGGCTAAGACCAGCCTGCGACTACCTGAGGAACAGTTACAAAGGTGATGCAGCCAAACTTTTTGGTAGTGCCCAATGATGCACTAAGAGGCAGCAGTCACAGAGAGCAGGCTGGGAGGTTCGCGGTGGATATTAGGAAAATATTGTTCTCTAGTACAGCACTGCAGTGCTCGAACAGGTCACCTGGAAAGGTTGTGCAAGCTCCCTCTTTGGAGGCTTTCTAGACTCAGATCAACAAAGCCACGGCTGAGCCGATCCTGTGCTGACAAGGGTTTGGCCTGAGTGGGAAGCTGGATTAGACATGTCCCAGAGGTCCCCTCTGAGCAGCGCTTCTTTGATTCTATTGGGATGAAACTTACTTATTTCAAACTACATTTCTTTCTGTACATCACATTTAAGAAATGATAATTTGAGATATTTCACTTTCAGGTGAATATACTGAAGTATAACAAACCATGATCAGACAAGAGAGCAAGCTGATAACGTGCTTTTCATAAATGCTACACAGCTGCCTGCCTGAATCATAAATTGGGTGCTTTAGTGGCTCATTCACACCCACTATTGCCATACATCCAAATTAAGGTCAGTTAGGATTACTTCCCTGATGAATAGACTTCCCTTTAATTAGGTATTCCAGAGATAACGCTTTAACAGCTCGTTATTTTATTACTTTGCTGGGGAGGCAGGCATAAAACAAGAAATTTGGGGTGAGGCAGCTCTATATAGTCCTTTCCCACTCCAGAGTGGAATGGGTCTCTGTACTTGCCACCTACTGCTCATTAGATAATGCAGCAGCAGAGGGGAGGTTAGGGAATAATAAAGTTTGCAGACTCTGCTTTAAAAATAGAGATGCCTAACCCAAAGTTTCTATTTAATTTCAGTAATTTTATTTCTTGTCAATCAGCATGGTGACTGTATCAACATAAACATTTCTATTAGATACAGGCCTATACTTTCAGTTTAACATTAGCACTATCACAGTTATACCAATATTTTGCTCAGCTAGAGAAAAGTTAAACCAGTATAAGAACATTTGTAGAAGTTTAATATTACCCACACTTGAACTATCACTGTAAATAAATCAGCACCAGTTTTGGGTTTAGACAGATCTCCAACAGTATTGCTACTGTGTAACTGCGTAGCCCAGGGAAGGAAAAGGACTCATCTTCAGTGCAACATTTATATCAAGTTACTTCACTTAGACTAACCTTGAGAGTACATGCTAAGAAACAACATTTCAGCTGCACCGGGTGATTTGATTATGAACACAGGGTGATTAGATTAGCAGCAGATGACTTGGAAGTCAAGCTGCTGTATCCCCATTGAATTACTAGCTCCGCACTCCCCCTTCCACCCAACCCTCCCCACAGGCCAGGCAGTTCAGGCTTTAAGCATCTCTTTAAGCTTCTTTAGACACCAAGCAAACAAAAGGCAAAATTTAAATCTTGCCTCCTATTGTCCCAAAACCAATCTGCTATCATACAACATCAACAGTTTGTCTATCAGGGTCAAAATGACTATTAAAAGCATTTCATAGGTCACAACATTTCATAAATGAAACAGCTATAAAAGGAAAGCTGACATCTAGCTTACCAGGAGGCCACACGGTTCAAGAGACAGCAGCTTTGAGTGAGACCATTTTCTCAGATCTAGTTATCAGCAACCAGGGCAGAAAAAGGAAAAAAAAAAACAAACAACAAACCCACACTTTAAACAAGTGGGCATAACCATGCAGACAAGCATAAGACTGTATTCCAATGCAGCTGAGCTGATGCAACCTGAGAAGCAAGCCGTCTTCAATGAAGGCATTGAAAGTTAAGTGGCAAAAGTTGCTACTCTTCAGCTCAGCCATATTAATCACCAACCTTAGCCTGTTGCTGGCTTCAGCTGGTAAGTGTCAACTCATTAAACCAAAGGACCTTGCAGCCATCTGCCCATTCCTTTGGTTTAATTTTTGTAATCAATTTTGCTTGAGTTCTGTGAATTTAGCTAACATAGCGAAAACACTTTTAAATTAACACAAAAGAGACTTCTTAAGAAAGCTGCATAGACAGTCCATAAATTGATGTAGGCCCAGGAGAAAAAACAGAGGGCAACGATAGCTGCTTACTCAAAGGGATTATAGTACGAAGCCTATTGTTTCTGTAAAGAGGTTTTGGCTGTGTTCAAATTGTTGACAATACTGTTCAAGGAAATCTTGCAAAAAACTTGCTTGGTTTTTTTGTTGTTTTTTTTTTAATAAAACAACGTACAAAAACATCCATCTTTATCAGCACCACCTAGAGCATAACCTCTACTTCTCCAGAGTAGTAGTTGGCTGAGTTAACCCATAGTATGCTCATTCTGCTGAGCCTACCTGCACCCATCTGATCCTAATTGACTACCAGCTGGGCACACTGTCCTGCACTGACTAGGAAACCTTTATGGGAGTTACCCCAAGAAGGAAAAAACCCCATATTGAAAAAAAATTTTAACTCAATAGGGCCTTCTTCTCAGAGACATTATTATCACAAGATTAAACAAAACTGATGGTTTCTATCCAACGTACGCAAGGCTATGACTTTCTGGAATTTATCTGGGGCTTTCAAAATTCAGTGTATTGTATCTCATGTTATTTACCCAAGAAACACAGCCAAAGCATGAGTTATGTGGGAATCACCTGTTTGATTCAATCCAGCACAGTGTATTTCCATTTGTATAGAGTTTTCATGACCTTTCCAGTTTCTCCTCTGGAATCTTTATCACAATATTATTGAGAACATACATTAATCCACAGATACTTTTAAAAAAAATTCATGTTTGAGTCAAAATGTGAGGGGAAAAAAAAAGAGGGGAAAAAAGAAATCTGGAATCTTTCTATTGGTGTTTTAAGGCATAACAAACTACAGCAATTTATTTCACCATATCCAGTTGTAATGCTAAACCACAGATAAACATTACTAATGTAGCAAGAATGTGTTTCTTCCTTCTGATGGAGGTCCAAGATTGCCCTCTTGAGTATGCCAAACAGCATGGGGTACTACATTTACCATGTGATTGGCACACACTTTAGTTTTGAATCAGTTTGGAGATTAAATTGTTGGCTAAAGCTCTGGAAATTCTGACTCTAGAGTTGTCAGGCAGGCTGTCTTTACTTTGAGAAAAAATAATTCTTTTTAATAACGCTATATTACTTGGCCTTTTATCTGTTTTTACATTGTTCAATGATGTTTTGCATTTCTACATATTGTGCAGTATCCCAAGAACTTTAGTAGGGGGAAATTCATACAGAAAAAAAGTTTATTATTTCAGCATGTGCTAATAAATTGCTACACGTTTGGGGAAATATTCTAATACAATCTATTTTGATGGCACACAAAAAGGTCACCATTGCATGCTGATACAAAAAGATGTATCTGTTCACTGAGAGGCAGAAATCATTTCTTAACATAGCTCATTTTCAAGGCATCTCTTACAATGCAGGGAAGTCTAAGGATTGAGGGTTTATTTTTCCATTTATCTTGTAAACAAAGGAAATTATCCCATAAACTTATTCTTAAATTTTTTTAGTCAACATTATTTCGCATAGCAACAAGCTTATTTCCAGTATATTTTAAGACACAGTTTCGTTTATTATTTTATTGATATTAATGGAAATGATCCAGAAGAGGAAAACACATTATTTGGAGGTCTGACTCTAATGCCTTCCATATCTTAAAGCCAGTAAGTATTCTGGGAGCAGAGTACTTGGAGGATTGATTCTGAATTCACTTCCTTAGGGACATGTAACTATAAAATCATGAGTTCTTTTCAGATCCAGTCCGCCTCAAACTCAAACCTTCGTGCAGCCTTCCACTTTCAGCTTGAACTTTTTTCCCCCTCGCTGCCATGAATGACACATACATACGTACACTCACATTTTGTGAGGGCACGCACAGGCATGCCAACATTGTTTACAACATCCTTTCTTTCTTTACTTATACAACTGCTGTTTTATAACCAAACATTACAGTCATTTCGCACAGCAATCTAATACACAGCTTCTTTTTTATCTAGTTTCTCTAATGGCTAGCAACCTGCCTTCATACCCATGAAACCTTTCAGAAAAGTTTCTCTCTTACCTGAACATGCAGTTTTGGCTCCCTGTTGTGGCAAACCCTCAAGGATGCAGTTTCATTATATGCGTCTGTCAACACAGATGCTGTCAGCTCCTTGAGGTACAGCCATACCGCCGATTCTAAAGTTGAAGGAGCTTTTGTATCAAGATAAGGGTCAACCAGTATCAAATAACACAAGTACAATCACTACCTCTGTTCTCCTAATAGAGGTATTTCCAAAAATATGTACAAACATGCTTTTCCTTATAATGCTCCTCGTCATTAAAATTTTCATAGTAATGTATGTCTTCAGAGTAACATATGATTGTTGATTTCAATGAACTCTCAACTGTACTACCACATTCACTTTACACAAATGTTTATTTCATCATCCATTTGAGTAACAAGTAGTTCAGATCTCGAGAAAAGGCTCTGATGATGATAAGTCAGTGCTACAAAGGTGTTTTTATAATTAAGATGACTTGTTTGGCTGCAGGCTTTTTTCACTCTCAGGAACGGGTTTGTCAGTGCAACATTTTTCAGAGTGGTGTTTTGGGTACCGCCTATAAAATGGGCTCTCAGTATTTTGTTCTTTCACAAATGATGTCTGATAAATGGTTAAGCCATCCTCATTGCTAGGAACTGATTCATGAGCCCATAGGAAGAAGTTCTGTGAGTTCTGTTGCCGCCTCTCTGGTTCCACCTTCCTCCGGCCCATACCCTAGGAAAAAAATGAAAGAAAAATTCATGTAAACATATGACTTACAATCACAGTTTCACAGATGAATCTTGTAGCAGTCACTACCCCACTGGGAAGTTAACCAAGCTGTTACCACAGTAATTTCAAGAACTCATGGCTGATCTTTAGCAAGTTAAAAATAATATTGTCAGACTTGCCTGTATGAACATTTCTGGTTGCATATATAATGGGAAATCTGTTGACCTTCCATCTCTTAGTACTAATAAATCACTTATATTTTGCATTTCTGTAGCATACTGTATACTCAAAGCTATTTAGCTATACTCGGCTAAACTGATCTTCAGAGTAACCCAAAGAAATCGGTTAATAATTTTATGTTCGGACTGCAATAAAGAAACTGAGACAGACCATGAAATCTGAATCTTCAAAACTATCCCTTCCGTGTCCAAACACAGAGAGACAGAGCCTGATTTTCACACTCCATAGCTTGCAGGAAATTTATTTGGAATTATGGTTGATCAGTATCTCTAAAACAATGAGACACTGCACAAAGTGCACAGAAATGAAGGTTACTCAGTGAATAATGAATACCAAAAAATCTAGGTCTAAGAGAGCCCAAAGTCAAACCAACTTTCGATATCACAATTTGCTGCTTCCTCCTCTACTCATTATCTTGTGAACTGCACTATTTCTTTTGCTGCCTAGAAAGATGTCAACAATCTAAGAAAAGTAGAAAAACATGTAACTGTTGAACATACAGAAAAGCCCAAACGAGTTTAAATTCTATTCAAAGTTGTGGCTTCTGCAACATACATTTAAACAGGTACATTATAAAGAGATGTAGACTGGAAAATAATACATTCTGGAGATACATTGTGGGTATCCTACAGATTTTGGTTAAACTTATGATAAAGAGAAGTCTGAACCAATTATGTGGGACTATGAATTATGAGTGGCTGAGACCCCTACAGAAGTTCATCACAAGGACAATCACTTTTAGCAGACTAATAGGACATATAACTGGGTACAAAATCATGTTAAGACATAAAAAACAGGACCACTAGAAGGTGCCCGGAGAGCATCAGAGATCCAAATCATAGGGTTTTTGTTCCCCTTCAATTCTGCCACTCTGAATGACCATGTGTGCTGCTGTATACCTGTGCCGGCCCCAGAGGAGTCCCATCCCTATACTAATAAAAAGTGCGTTTTTTCTTTGCTGTTTACATTTTTTAGCATCTATAATTTTTGCAGGGGAGAGAAAAGATACTGTGTTGAATCTCTGGAAGACTGAGAGATATGAGCTTGCTTGATTCTTCTCAGTGCTAGGTACTTACAAAATCAAAATACTCTCCTACATTCTGTAGACAGTGTCTGTTGTCATGAGAAGAAAATGGGAAATTGTTCTTCACTGCTCTCTGAAAAAAAGAAATTATAGCAAAAAAATATGGATTTTCACATACCTTGTTTGGAGTCTACTAGTCTTAGTTCTTATATTCTGACAAATGCTGAAATTACAGCTGCCTATGTTCTAACACAGAAGTCATATTCGTATGTTAAAACTTCAGCTGCACATCATTTTAGAGGGCAATGTGGACCCTCTGTATTTTATTTTTTTTTTTTTTAGAAAATCATCAGGAGGATTCACGTTCCCTTGACTTGCTGAATATATATATGATTAATAGAAAAGTGTGAATTTTCAAATAAGAAATGATACATTCTGTCCGCAGGCAGCAAAATACTAGATATATGTCAGGATTGCCTTGTTTGATTCACTAGTAAGCCTAAAGCTAATTAAAATGAACTACAAAAGGGACCTCAAAACTGAATTAATCTATGATTTATGTACTGAATGTCATGTACACTGCTTGTTGCAGGGGAAGTGGAAGAGATATTAATTGCATAACTAATTTATAATCTCATTCTTTAACATAATGTTCATCCAGTCTCTAAAATGAAAGTAGAGTTTTAGAAAAGGAAAACTGCAAAAGAACAATTTTAGAAGTAATTTAACATATTTAATTTTTTTAAAGTGTGTTTATTATATATCATTGCAATATTATTAAAATAGCTAAAAACTGAAACACAGAAAACTCTTCTGGACTATTAGATTGCCTCTGTTCTTCCCCAAGCATTATTTTCCTGCTTAATGTTGGGAACTTCATGTTTTTTCTGTAAATGCTCTAGCAATTTTTACTTTTAACATCGTGGAATACCTCTTTCATCTTCCAACTATGATATTCACCTCCAAACAGAAGAGCAAGTTTTAATGTAACACAAGTTAAAAAACATGTTTCAAGAGCAAATGAATCTGGATCAGTTCTAAAGATAAATGTAACTGGAGGCCTGATCCAGCAAGAAAAATCACCAAATATAAAATTTGCCTGCATGGAGTCAGCTGCATGATCACATCTTAGGGTATTTGGTACCTTTTTTAGGTACGTGCCACACGTTCACTTGTTTTCTCATACAGATTCAACCAGGCTGTAGTAACATGCATAACTAAATTCAATGGATACATTCTCATATATGTGTTTAAAAATAAGCACCTTCCAAGTCAGTAAAATGTAAGACTTACTAAAATATCCTACTGCAATCACACACCAACCTTAACATTTTAGGAACAGTGTTTATTACTAGTGCCTATATGCTGCAGGAAAATTGAAAACCAAGATGGTAAGTATTGAATATCGTCTCTTGGAAGGATTCCCCATATTAACTAATGGTTAAAAAAAAAATCTATTACAGAATAATTATAGGACTATCATGAAGTAAGAAATAAGAGGTAATATAAGCTTAAACAGTACTATATTTCTGAGAAAATTAATTAACCTGACAGCCAGTGAGTTCCTTCATACAAAGAGATTAGAGACATCCAGCTTCACATGCAGTGAGCTTCCAACACTCTATTAGCACTATTTAAAAATGTCACATAAACAAACTTCCACAGATTGTTCCTGTGACATCACATTTTAGCCTTTAATGCATCTTCGTACTCTCACCACCGACCTAATTTTAATTCTTGATTTGTAACAGACAGGAATCCCACTAATTCTTTTTAACACTGAAGGGCTGGTAAATACAAGGCATAAAACATCAGGTGAATAGTCATACTGGTGTTGATAAACGGTCCATCTAACCTGGTTCTCCTTTCCAAACAGTGGCTAAGGCCAGATGCTCCACAGAGAGGTATACACAATATCAACATGATGTATACTCATGTTACAGTATAATGTTCTCCTTTTCTTTTCACTAGCCCCAAGCTCTCCTTTTAAATATTCCTTCCTAGCCCATTTCTGCTCTTCATTATAGCAAAATCTGTGAAATGAACTCAATATAATTGCTATGCTTATAGAAAATGAAAATAGAAAATATTCTGTGCACAAAGTGGGTGGGTAAAGCAAAGCTCAGTGTGATGATAAAATAAGGACATAAAAATGTGCTTATGAAATTATAACATTTTAAATACTCGTGCTTTTAAAATACTGTAGTTTGTTTCTTGCCAAAATTGTCCCAAATCTCCTCATTTTTAAGCAAGCCTTAGAAGTGTTTCAAATAGGAAGCTTCTAACTTTTTAATGATCAAAAAAATAATCCTTTGCCTGAATATACAGAATTTCTGACATTCAATTCAAAACAGATCATCAAATTTCAATTAAACATTCTTATAGGGCTTTACACACAGGTTTTGGACTGAGATCGATCATAATATATTCTGGCACATAAAAGTGTCTCAAACAACTATACTAGCTAATAAAAGGGAAAAGTAACTGATGCTTGAAATCAACAGTAACTACAGCAGGTCCTAGAGCATCTAAAATTATAATTGAGTAACAGCGAAATATGTTTCTTCCTTAGCACAGCTAGCAATCATCTTACTCCCTGAGGCACGAAGACTGCCAGTCTGCTATGACTGCTTTGCTAACTACCGTAAATGCTATTCTTATAACTTAGCGAGTGATATCTTGCAAAAAGGAGCTCTGTAAATTGACTGTATTGCCACAGTAACTCACCTGCTCCCGAGCTCTGTACGCTAGCGGCAATCTATCCTCAATATACTGAGCTGCTCCTGAGTTCTGGACCTGTTTTAGTGCAGAGCTTGTACTTGACTCAGGTTGACTCTGGCATGCTCCAACATGAGCAAACTAGAAAATAATGAAAATTGTGACCCATTTAAAAAAAAAGCCAACAAGAAAAAAACCAAATAAATCTGACCAGAAATGTGGGCAAAATTGTATTTTCCCATTTATTTTTTATTATTTGGATTGCAGCAGCACCTAGCGGCCTCTGGAAGAATCAGGAGCCTCCCACACACAGCACAACCCCTACCATAAAGACCTTACGATGTAGGTCAGTAAAACAGACAAGACTATTATTTCTCCAGGAACTTTCCTAAAGTTGTTTATATAGCGATAATCCATCTAGCAAAACCACTTATGGAATAACATCTTTTCCCCCCCCACGCTGCTCCCGCTGTTGTACGACCGTAGATTTGAAAGCACAAAACTTTTGGGGAACAGCTCAGCAAAACGTTAGGCCCACAGGTTCAGAGACTGAAGAACAGCCTGTGCCAGGCGTGCGTCGCAGGGCCCTGGGATGCCGAGACATCCCAGCCCAGGGCCTCCGATGGGGCCGCGGCACCTCTCCTCTGGGCGAGGACTGACGCAACGTCCACTGGCATTTTTCAGAAGATAATCAGCTAGGGCTAAATATAAAATAAGAGATCTCCAGCACTGCTGGAAAACTGGAAAAAAATCCTGCCAGAGATTGCTTTAGCACACTTCCTCTGAATACCTAGGGCACTTTTTCCTCATAAACATCAGGAACGGGAAACCTCGTTCCTGGCTAAAGGACAAAGTCACCCTCAGCACGGCGTTTTTTCGAGAGTTTAAGGATAAAAGAGCCCCTCGCCCGGGGACGCGGGGGCTCCCGCCCGGCCCTCACCCAGGCGCCGGCGCGCTGCTCGCTGGGGTTGGTCCACCTGCCCTGGGGCATGGCTCCGCG